AAAGACGGGACGTTGTGGACCCTGCCAACGTTCTGCAGGAACAAAGATGGAACGTTGTGGACCCTGTCAACGTTCTGCAGGAACAAAGACGGAACATTGTGGACCCTGTCAACGTTCTGCAGGATCAAAGACGGAACATTGTGGACCCTGTCAACGTTCTGCAGGAACAAAGAACGTTCATCTGGAACCGGGATTCAAGAGTTTCAGAAAAGTTTCTCAAATTACAAAACAAACTGAAAACATCTTCAAAGTCTTTTCTTTCAAAATGGCAGTTTAAAGCATCTGCTGTGCCCCTGGTGCCCCCTCACACCAAGACCTCAGTCAGTCTGGGTGAGTCAGGGGGGTCAGGACCACCTGAAGCCCACAGGGGGCGGTGTTGGCCTGGATGAAGGCCGAGCTGCCTCCTCTTCCTCAGTCTGAGTGTCAGTGCAGACTTCTCCTGGGAGGGTCAAAGGTCGGGGGGCGGCGGACCGGGGGCAGGTCGTAGTGTCCCGGGATGTGGCTGTTCACCGGCAGGTCGTAGTGGCTCTGGGGGTCATCGAGGGGGGCGTGGCCAAGGGAGCTCTGCCGCTCTGTGGAGAAAACGATTAAACTCTTCGGTTTATGCATCAAACTATCATTTAGTTTCAGGAATGAAACATTTCTCAGGGACGGAAACGTCTAACGAGGTTTAACAATTAACTTTTCATCCCCGCTGCTACAGACTGCTGCTGTGCGGTCATTTACCCGTCTGTTAGTAAAATATCTCAACCCAGTGGACAGATTTTAATTTAATCCACCCAACACGGCTGACACAGCTGGTCAGATTTAACGATCACTCAGTTTTGCACTGACTGAGTTGAGATTCTTGCTTAAAACTGACCTGATGCTTATCTGTTAGCAAAATATCTCAAGAGCCGCTGGACAAAAATGCATTTTCTTCAGACGTGACGTCTTCCGTTAATAAATCTGACACCAGGAAGTTGTTCTGGTCTCACCTCGGCGCAGCGTGGCCACGTGGAACGGCGGCGGGCTGATCTCGGTGTACGCCCGCTCTCTGGGGACGGCCGCCTTCATCTCCATGTAGCTGCTCTCTGGGGGTCCGAACGGGGGTCCGGGCAGGTCCTTGATGGTGGCGTAAGGGTTCTCGCTGTTCAGAGAGCCGCTGCTCGCAGCCGCCAGCTCCTTGAGCTCTGCTCAGCCACAACACGGAGAGAAATGAACCAGAACGTGAGCAGCTGGGAGGTTAAAGGTCAAACCTAGAACTGAAAATCAAAACATCTGATTGTTCCATATCCAACAAAGTTAAGTCCTGGGGTGTGGCCAACCGCCTGCTGGAGGTTTCTTAACGTTGTTGGATTTTTTTTACCTGGATTATTGAGCATGAACTTTGATCTTACTGTTCCATACTTTCCTAACGGAGCACTTCGCTCTCAGACTGCAGGTTTACTTGTGGTTCCTAGAGTTTCTAAAAGTAGAATGGGAGGAAGATCTTTCAGTTCTCAGGCTCCTCTCTTGTGGAACCAACTTCCAGTTTCTGTCCGTGAGCCTGACACATTGTCCAGTTTTAAGACTGGACTTAAGACTTTCCTCTTTGATAAATCCTATAGTTAGGGTTGGCTTGGGTTTCCTGAGCTATCCCTTAGTTATGCTGCTATAGTCGACTGCTGGAGGACAAATTGACCACATTTCCTCTCTCTGCCGCTGTCTTTACTTACTCCACTCTACCTGTTTGTATTTATATTCATTTCTATCTTAACATGTTTTTTGTCTTTCCTCCTATAGAAAGTTCACCTGGACCTGTCACTGTGTTTGTTTCTACTTCCTGTCCTCTCAAATCCAGCGGGTCGAAGCAGACGGCTTGTGTTTCATCTTCAATCTTCATATTTAATTTGTGTCTTAGTTATGTCAACATGTTTTGAAGTTATTCTCCTTTAATTTAAATTGCTACTCTGGAAATTAAACATTTGAGCTTTTTAAGCCACATTCTGTATAAATATGTTTAATATTAATGTCTTTAAATATGCTTTTTATATACAATAAATGGTTCAGTTAAATGTATTTGGCTCGTTTTATTTAACCTAAAAGAAAATCTTTAGTCATTTGTCTTAAACTAATTACAAATAAAACTTTGATTGCATCAAGTTTGAAAAGGAAAATCATTCAAACATCACATGTGGTTTAAAAGGAATAAACATGTTGGGTTCAGTTTAGCATCACCTGCTGAGTGAGATTTAATCCAGACTACAACCGAGCTCATTGTCGCAGGTAAATACGTTAAAAAGCAATTTTAAAAAATCATCTGCAGATGAAAAATCAGGCTTTATTTAAAGAGTTAAGTTTCAAATAGTGGGACATAAAACCAGGACACTCCTGGACACTCCTCTTCTCTAAAAGCATCTCTTTAATCCTGAAAGGCTCAGTCTGCTCTGATTAGTCCAAACACTGATCCCAGATCTGATCAGTAAAAGCCAGCAGCTGATTTCTGACTGAGCCGAGACCAAACAGCCAAAACCAGGACGTCTTCTCTGGTCCACAGTTACTTCCTGTGGTGAGGACTTTCTTTAACACATTTATACGTCCTCAGTGCACGAAGAGCAAGAAGACGTGAAGAAACGTCTGCTGAAGATGCTGCAAACTTTGTTTCGTAGCTGCGTCACGGAAGAAACACGACGCGAATCTTACATTTGAAACATTTCTACATCCTTTCTATTCGCAGGTCATATTTCCTGCTCTTCAGCTGTTAGTAGGAGGAGACGAGGCGATAAAGTACCTTTGGTGTAATATTTTCCGAGGCTGGCGCTGTAGCTGTAGCTCCTGTCGATGCCAAAAGCTCCTGTAAACAGTAAAAGACACATTTTCTCTCTGCACTTTAATTTATGTCGAGCTAATCAGAAGCAGACAGAGCGCTTTGGAAACGTGGAAAATCAGTCGCAGGTGTGCGGAGGAACGCTGCTGCCAAACAAAACATCGGGGCTTTATGGAGTTCGGAGTGTTTACGGCCCGATACCTGCAGGGCTGCGCACAGCAGGACCGAGCAGGAACTTCTCCCTCAGTTCCTGAACATTCACTTTGATTTGAACTGTAACGTTATTAACACAAGTTCTTTTATCAGAGTAAGAAGCTGCAGTTGGTTCTCGCAGCAGAAGCTCATTTTAGCTGTGACTTCAGGTTGTAACAGACTGAATGTTTCTGCAGCCAGGAGGTCAGGAAACCACCGCTCCTCTTTCATTAGCTCCATTAACGTCCGTCCACTCTGCAGCTCTTCTCTGTATGAATTAAATGTCAGCGACGGATGATACCTGAAGGCCGAGCATCCCCTGAAGGAATGCACATCACCCGCCGCCTTTCGTTGACAGAGTTGTCAAACATCATCTCATGGGAGAAATAACGGAGTCTTTAGTTAGTTTTGGTCAAAACGAAATGGAAAATATTCCTGCATGATCCAACAATGTTCAGTCAGGTCACCTGGACGTTTTTTTTTTTTTTTTTTTTTTTTT